GTCCCCCCCCCCCCCCCCCCCCCGTCCGAACGCCATTCCAGTGCTCTTCCGTCCAGCAGGCAACACAGATGAGCTGCTCACCTGCAGCACGCCGGGCCTTTCCAAGTGGACAAACTGCCCCATCCGTGGGGTTACAGTCTGTTGGGACAGAGAGGAGGGGGCAGAGACAGACAATAAACATGATAAATAAGTAGCTTAAAGGCATATTCAGAGATGGTAAGCGCTATGACTAAATGGAGCGGGACAAGGGGAACCAGGTATAGGACAAAGGGAGAGGGTGATTTTTAAACAAGGGGTCACCAAGGCCTCCCTGGGAAGGTGATATGGAAGCAAAGAGCTGGAGGCAGGAGGGCAGAGCCCTGTGGGTGTCTGGGGAAGAGGAATCCTGCTGGGGGGTGAGCCTGGGCTGGCGGAGGGGCAGTGAGGAGAACCGCGAGGCGGGAGCAGGTGAGCGAGGCGGGCAAGGAAGCGAGGGGGGGCAGCTGCCACGTGTGTCCTGGGAGACGTGCACTGTCTCTCTGAGTCATGGGGGCTGCGGATCAAGGAGGGCCAGGATCTGACTCCTGGGCAGGGTCCCTCTGGCTATGTGTGCTAAATGGATTGTAGGCCGAGGGAGCCCAGGGAGGGGGTGCCCACCCTGTCCAGGTGAGAGAGGATGGTGGCTAGACCAGGGTTGGGGCCATGGACATGGTGAGAAGTGGTTAGATTCTGGAATCATTTTAAATAAAGAGCCGACAGGATTTCCTGAGGATGACATGGGAGGTGTCAGGACAAGGCTAAATCTCTTGTCCTGAGCAAAACGGGAAAGGTGGGATCGCTGTTTGCTAATCGGGGGAACGACAGACGGGCTGGTGAAAGCAGGAGCCCAAAGAAACTAGATCCTTTTTAATTTTTTTTTTAAATATATCTTATTGATTTTTTACAGAGAGGAAGGGAGAGAGAGAGTCAGAAACATCGATAAGAGAGAAACATCGATCAGCCGCCTCCTGCACATCCCCCACTGGGGATGTGCCCGCAACCCATGTACATGCCCTTGACCGGAATCAAACCTGGGACCCCTGAGTCCGCAGGCCGACGCTCTATCCACTGAGCCAAACCGGTTTCGGCGATCCTTTTTAATTTTTATTGAATTTACTGGGGTGACATTTGTTAATAGATGACACAGGTTTCAAGTGTACAGCTCTACAAAGAAACTAGATCGTAATTTTTCTCACCACAAAAAAGAAATGATAATTGTGTGGCATGACAGAGGTGTCCGCTCTATGGCAGTAACCATGTTGCAATGTGTAGATGCACCAATCAGCACATGGACACCTTAAACTTACATGTTAATTATACTTCACCAAAAATAAATGTTTAAAGCAATCAGGAGCTGGTTTGGGACATGAGGAGTTTGTGACTCCCATCAAACATCCGAGAGGTGACATCAAGGAGGCAGCCCAGCCTACCTGGGTTCTGAAGTTCAGGGGCGAGGTCTGGGCTAGAGAGAGAGATGGTCAGCATCGAGATGACACCTCAAGCCCTAGCGATCAACCAGGGGGTGCGTATAACCAGGCAGAGGCCCCAGGGCCATATGACACGGGCAGGAGAGCGGGGGGAGCATCCAGGTAGCACAGCACCCTGCCCAGGGCAGAGCTCCGTCCTCCTCCTGGTGGGACCGCTGACTCTCCCGGGACTCTCCCCTCCCCCAGGGCCAGTGCTCCCAGATGTGCCACAACGTCTTCATCGTGGAGTCGGTGTGTGTGGGCTGGTTCTCGCTCGAGTTCCTCCTGCGGTTCATCCAGGCGCCCAACAAGTTCGCCTTCCTGCGGAGCCCGCTGACCCTGAT